TTCTAAATTACAGATTCTTAGTGTATTTATCTGTCATTATACCCTTGTCTGGTGACACGCCCACCTATATCTAAACAAAATTAATAATTATTCTGTTAGGAGCCCACTCCCCTACTCTGAGTTGGAAATTACCAGTATATGTAAGTCTCTGTGGATAAATAGAGCAGGATGTTTATAATTATATCACAACAGGACAGATTAAAATGTGTGCTATCTACTCCATCCTGATTTTATTAGCAATGTATCAGTTACAGGGAAACAAGATGCAAAACACAAAGATTGAAAAAACAAGTCAGGGCCTGCATTGGGTACTTTATACATTGGGTCCACTCAGAATAAATCCTTCTGCATATTTCAAATGGGGTTTTCCTGAAAATATGCAATCCGGTTTTAGTTTCTATGCCTCAAAATCTGAGGAAGTAGCTTCAACACAAACATTGCGACAAACTCACAACAATGAAGGTTACAAGTAGCAGATGCTACCTGTGCCACAGGATCACTTTCTATTATGATGTAAATTGACAGTCCAGATTTCCCACAGGCCCCTAAGGATGGTACCAGGAATATTAGAGGGGGCCATTTGTTTTGCATCAGCCAGAGAAGTATCTATGGTGCCAACAGCTGTGAAGCACAGGGTTGAGGTCACTGGGGCTATACCCTATCTACAGAGTATACACTATAGATATATGTAACAGTTTCTTTTACTAGATTTATTTGTATGGTAATTATGCTTCAGTAACTGAAACTGTTAACTATACACAATTAATACTTTAAATGTAAATAACTTAATTGTATTTTGCTGTATGTTATTACAATTGTATTCTTTAGGATTGATCATTTATCTTGGGATACAATGTAAGTTAGATGTGCAGTTTTGTATGTTTTTTGGATGATAATTACAATTAAGGAGGATTTTGATATCATCAGTTGTTTGGTTTTGATTTCACCAGATTATGGGAGATAATGGGATAATCATAATTGAGTGATATAATGGTGTAAAGTTATAGACTTATTACCACATCATTACACCACAGTAAGTGTCCTTAGTCATACTTCTATGGTTTGGTGTGAAGTGTGCATTTCCTAAAGGGAAATAACTTTTGTATGTTAAGAGTGTCACTCTAGGTACTGAAGGTAGTGAAAGTTACAAAAACAATTTGAAGTAAAAGGAAACTAATTGTATATGAAAAATGAAGTTCCTTATTGAAAAAGCAATTAAACAGAATTATGAAATAGTATGATAATAGAAATGGTATATTTAAATTAATGTTGAAAGAGTTTGTCAAGGACAAATGTAAAAAGTGGAAAACTTGTTAACAAGGGACATTTGTGATGGGCAAGTCTATAGTGATCTTGTCCACTCCATCGTAAGAAGAGAGTAGGCAGATGATAGTCCATACCTACTGAAAATTCAGGGACAATCGTAAGAAGAGAGTAGGCAGATGATAGTCCATACCTACTGAAAATTCAGGGACAATATCTTCAGTATAATAATGATGTTTCCACTACCTTAAAAATAATTCAGGATTGTGAGAAAATAAGGATCAGGAAAAGATTTGTGGTAAACTTCAGAAAATTATTTTTTGTGTATGAATTTAAGTGAATCACAGAAACTTCCTTTCTCAGTTTAGAATTTATAAGCTTTTAAACAAAATATTGAAGGCCATTTACATTTGTTAAGTGTTGGTAAAGTCATTGCCCAGTTGAAAGTGTTTCATGGGTAGAAAAAAGGTATTTAGTAAAATTTAGATTAACAGTTGCTCCCTCTTGCCCAAAGCTCCCCTAATTCTTCGCTCATCTCACTTAGATGTCATGTCTATGGAGAGACAAAGAAACTAAAAAATACCATCATACTTGAATAGATAAAACACTCTGATTGGAAGCCTACTCATGTATTGGCTAATCATAACAAGTGGACCTGTTCCCTGTGTTTTTGCTAGACATGTCCTTTATCACATAATACAGCTTATGCTAGGCATACAAAATGCTACGTGATCTGTTTGGTTTACAGTCTGTAATGAAAATACTCTGTCATATATATTTTAATAATTTGGTGTCATAGTTACAGGTTATGATGATTTTATAGGGTATCTTAGTTATAGGCAGTGATTGTTGGGTGTAATTCTTTAATGAGCCAAGTCACAAATTGTGATTACTTGGGTGTCATGGTCACAAATTGTGATTACTTGGGTGTCATGGTCACAAATTGTGATTACTTGGGTGTCATGGTCACAAATTGTGATTACTTGGGTGTCATGGTCACAAATTGTGATTACTTGGGTGTCATGGTCACAAATTGTGATTACATGGGTGTCATGGTCACAAATTGTGATTACATGGGTGTCATGGTCACAAATTGTGATTACATGGGTGTCATGGTCACAAATTGTGATTACATGGGTGTCATGGTCACAAGTTGTGATTACTTGGGTGTCATGGTCACAAGTTGTGATTACTTGGGTGTCATGGTTACAAGTTGTGATTACTTGGGTGTCATGGTTACAGGTTGTGATTGTTTTGTTGTCATCATTGCAGGTTGCAAGTTATTCATGGATGTTATAGTAATGGGATGTTATTGTGATTGTTTTTTGCAATATGGTTACAATTGTGAATTTTAGGGTGCCATGGTTACTTGTAGGTGATAGTTTGGGTGTTATGGTTACAGACTGTGATTATTTAGGTATCATGATTACAAACTGTGACCAAATGTCATAATATATAGGTGACACATAGTGCTTTAGGAAAGCTTATAAGAACTTGTTCCTGTGATGACGGAAGTAGTTGTAAATGGTATATTCATATTACAACTGAGGGGAAGTGGATTTCTTTGTCAGATATGTGTTACATATATCCTTCTTATGAAGACAATACGACAACCTTTGTCTCTAGCTTCAGACATTTTTATTGGTGTGATCTACTTCCTTACTGGGTCATGATTAAGTTCTGGTAGAGTTGTGAATAATCTTCGTAGTGTAGTGTTGGAGGCACAGGATTTGACATTTATGTGAAGATCGTGTCCTTAGGAGGGGTAGATTTTCTCCTTTCTAGAGTAACACTGGGGCATATCACTCAGAAAGATACAGTAATTTGTCTGACAACAAACTTATCAATCTGACTGGAGTACTACCATCTCCATGACGACTGGTCATGTCAGGTGGTTTTATATACAGGAAGTAATATACATGGACTAGACTCATAACAACTAGAGGGAACTTTTTAATGTTTCGAAGTTGTACGATTTCCCTGTTAATGCCTTTGAGTTGCTGTTATATGTTGCTAGATTGCATTAATTTAGGACAGGAAATTGCTTTGTAAAACAAAGATAAAGGGTTGCAGATGAAGGTTATAATCTTTGAACTCTGTTGCAATTTAGATTATAAATAAAAAAACAAGCTAATTATTATATACAGTCGAACTTCGTAACTCGAACTCGGAAAACTCGAAGACCCCGTTTAACTCGAAGCACTTTGTCGGTCCCGGCAAAATCTTCTCTTTATTCTAGTAATCAAAACTCGGAAAACTCGAATTCGGAAAACTCGAAAAACTCTGTTAATTCGAAGTAAAAATTTGGTCCCAACAACAAAACATATACTGAATATGATCGGAAAACTCGAAGTATAAATTTTGTGCCGGTCAATTACATTGCTGATGCGCTACGCCGTTTTGCAATTTTACCGACAATAGGTTTTACAAGTGAATATTAATGAACAATACTGTAATTAACAATATTCATGTTTTAGAAAAGTGTTTATTGTTATTTAATTGAATGATAAAAGGTAACCGTTAGATCTTATAATTGATAGATATCGGCGATAAAAAGTGAAGTTCTACTCACATTGCATAATTTCCGTGTCTGTCAGCCATAACAAACACCGACCTGTGTATACACTCAGTGAAGCGGAACTAAGCTATAGAAAACAATCACAACACTGGCCCGGTACTAGGCTTAATGTTTTTACAGGAGTACGCATGAAACGGTCACCTGTGCTCAATTAAACGGACAAATGAGTGAAACAATTATTTAATTAGCGTCGAAGTACTTAGGGCAGAATTAGTGAGGAGATGTCATGAGTGTCACATAGCCTAGACTCGTGTTGACATGTAGGCTAATCTAGTTCTCGTTAATTAAAAAGGACTGACAGAACGAAATTGATGGTTTCTAAATAATAAGCAAACTGCACCTAATTTAATTATCAATTCTGGTTTTTCAACGATCAAGAACAAAATATGTTTGCTTATTACGGGAATCTACATCAAGCTCGTATATAGCCAAAAAGTGACAAAAAGTACAAGGAACGTCAGGAACATTAAAAATCTTTGCACCAAAACTCATGAACTCGGCTATCTCGAAGACTCGGATAACTCGAAGTATTTTCGTGGTCCCATCGACTTCGAGTTAACGAGGTTTGACTGTATATATATTAAAGTTGTTGTTTTGGGTAAATTGCCTAATGAACAACATATGGGAGGCCCATTGTCTGTCGTCCAGATTTATATAGTGGTGAAACTTTCTTGACCAATAACACCAATATTTAAGCACAGACCAGTTTATTTCTCAGCATTATGAGAATCACAAACCTGGTAAACTGACTTGCCTTCAGTAAGTACCGGTCTTGTTTCTTCAACACAGATATGGAGTATTGAACAAATATTACACCCTATATCTTATCCTGAGATAATATTGGCCAGCCCTTTAATTTAAACTGTACTAAATAAAAGATTTTTGCAAATCACAGCTGAAGGTTTAAAGGAAAACTACAATGAGCCAACTGAATTATTACAGAATAACAGTTTTAAAAAACAGAGTTTAAAGAAGAAAAGTTGGCTGATGCAGTACTTTTGAATTGTTTGATACCTATAATGTTGTAAATTTTTTTTACTGTATTCGTATGTTCTTGAGTTCCATGCTTATATTGAGATATTTTGTTTTCAGTTTTCCTACAACTTATTAACTTATGCTTATCAGTGGAAGATTGAAGATAAAAAATTTTGTATTGTAGGCATGTGCACCACTATATGTTTACAAGTCTCCCAAAGCTGACAAGAGAGCACCTGTGGGCACCTGCTACCTCTCCAGGTACAACTCCTTCACGGAGTTCACTCCCTGTAAATCCTGTAAGTATTGCACCTGTTTTACCTATAAAAAACCTGGTTGTAATTGGCATGTATGAATTATATTTCATTTTTGATCATAAGTTTGTATTCAACTTCCAACTTTTGTTTAAAGGGAAGCAGACAAGAAGGAAAAATAAATTCTCTCATGCAGAGACACTTTAATAACAGACTTGTTTTTCAGCAGTCCATATATTGTAGAAATTTAATTGTTTCAACTGAGAATCTGATCGTCCTGAGTTATGGTTTTGTCCTTGGGCAAGACACTCAATCCCAACTGGTGTGGCTTGCATGCGACAGGCCTTATGTATGTTGCTTGTTAAAGATAGTTACCAGCCCTACCACTACGATACTAAATGATGTCTAAATGACACTGGCTTAATTATGGACAGGTATAAACACAACAGACAAAAGTTCATCCCAATAAGACATTATATTAAAAGATGTCAAACACAATGTTTCTTGGAAAGTTGATTTACTCTTTTGAAACAGACTATGCTTGTATATTTATAAATAATTCTTAGGAATGTGAATTATCCTGTGGAAGGTTGAATTGTATATATTTTATTAAAGATTCCTATAAAAATGTATTATCTGAAATGCCTCCGACTGAAATACTTTGAGATGATTTCTACAAAGGATAATTACTTTTCTTGACGTAGTTGACATAAACCTCATTCTACAGGGAATTACAAAGGTCTTTAAAAACCATTTCAGAAAACAAATCAGATCTTAGGAGCAACAACTATCAATCATTGTTTCTTCATCATGTTGAGGCAGACTGGTTTTCAATTTTCTGATTTCAGAACGAGAAAACAATATGTAAATTAATTTACAAATCAACCATTGATTGTTTGTGCTCTGAAGCTTGTAGAACAGCGCGCCTATCACTAATATAATGTTAGCATGCGGTTCTGGTGAGTGACATTTGGAGTCTTTACCAGTAACTTATTTTTTCGCAGAATGACAGATTTTCAGCTTAAGCTTTTCACTGATGTGGATCAGCAGTTTTGCATTTTGTATTGTTTTTCAGGAATGTCTGTTTTTCTGCTCTTGCCGGAGATTTCACTCTTCAAGACATTTGCTTTATATTTTACAAATGGTATTTATAACATTACCTAATTAAATATCAAGGGAGTTAACTCATAAATCAGACACAATCAGGTTATTTATGACATTTACCTTTGATATTAGGCTAAGTTTTTATGTGTGTGTTTATGTAAATGTGCTGTGATATTTGCTGTATTTTGTGGTATATGTTGGTGTGTTTGTAGTGCTGTTAAAGTGCTGTTTTTCCCCTGTCCTATAACCCAATACCTCAACTTTAAATAAAACTTGTTAAAATGCTGAAAAGAAAACTACATTTTTCCCCATTACATGTTTGCTTTAATCTAGCCTATACTTCATTTGAAGGTTTTAAGGTATTATTTGTGTAATTAATTAACAGAATGTCGGGTCGACAGGGCTTAAACCCTCCGAGCTTTAAATTTGTCTGTATATATATACAATTTACCTTGATGTTGAAACCTCCCCAACAAATAACATAATTCAAGGTCCTTAGTTTCAGGGACTTTAAACTGAGAGTTATCATCAGAATAATAGAAATCCCTTGATAAATCAATAACTAATTACTTTCCTGTAGTGAAACATAAGGAGGTGTGTCATCTGAATGGTTATTTGGACAATTAAATCCTCAAATTAGCAAAGCTTTCAAATGGCCTTGACAAGGAAATCTGTGTTAGAGACATGCTTAGCATATCTTAGTGACAGAAGTATGATCGTGGTTTTGGTGAAATAGTTGTGGTGTGTATTAAAAACACCGAGGTTTAATCATCTGAGAACAGGATGAGTCTTTCAGTTAGCCTCTTAGACTTCTGATTGCTGTCCAAGTGTTATGTGGTGGAGTTTCTTGTCCTCTGTATTTATAGCAAATTTAGAACCTTTATACTTTAACAAAATCCCATACATTTTGTTATGGGGCATTGGAACCTACACAAGTTTTCCCCCTTGTGATTAATAGTTGTGTTATTAATAGATAAACTTAGTGAAAGAAACACTGTTTGATGTTAAAAGTGGATACATTATTGATTGTATTGAGACATAATATCAGCTTTCTTTCATCGTCCATTTCCTACGGAAATAAACAATTTGTTGACTACAAATCTGATGACTGTCTCTGGCCTCAGTGTTAGATCATCAACTTGTAAAATTCATGGTTCAGAATAGTCCTTTCTTAATTGATCACGAATTGAAACAGAAATAAATGAAATTAAGATATCAATTTAGAAATATTTCTGTACACAAACCTTGAAACTTCATAACAAAATTATTCAAGTGTACCTCTTCAACCTTCATAAAATATTTTCATGTTCTTTTATTTTATATTAAATAGTCGGAATTGTGGAGGGTATGATAAAAATGTATTCTTATTGATATATGTAAATAAAGGAGTTGTATTGAATCTACCTTAGGAGACTACCAAAGACATCAACATGTAGAGTGTTAGACCAACTACTCATTATTATTAATATATTGTAAATAAAGGAGTTGTATTGAATCTACCTTAGGAGACTACCAAAGACATCAACATTTGGAGTGTTAGACCAACTACTCATTATTATTGATATATTGTAAATAAAGGAGTTGTATTGAATCTACCTTAGGAGACTACCACAGAGATCAACATGATTTTCTGTGGCTTTTAATTTTGATACGGCCTAGAAGAAAATGTTAAATGTGTTCAAATTATACAAAATTGTGTTATTTGGCAGTTAGGTGATATACGATAGCTACCTATTTTCCATACATGAATTCAGGAATTTTATATCACAAAATGGTGATATCAGCTTTGATATAAATTTCAATGAAGATACTAAACTCTTTGAGACATATTAATTATAAACACCACAGTTCACAATAAAAACTGGTAAACAGGCAGTATTTAACAATATTGATGAAAAATCCATTTTGAATATTCAACGATCTTTTTTAAAGTGATTTTATAACTTCTTTGTGACAGACAGAAAAGCAATAACCAGTTATTAGGAGCGGAATACACAATGTAGTTCATAAGTACGGGAAATGCTGGAGTTCTGCGGGTCAAGTACAACAATTGGGTGTGTCCTATAATATGTGGTCACCACTGTGTTTCATACGGGGTTTGTTTGACTTCCTCAAATTTCACTCTAGGTCAATTTGGAATGTGTAAGTAAACAAACCTTCAATAGAAAAATAAATAAATAAATAAATAAAATATCATTGTGTGAAGGTCAGACATTAAAACGTTAGTTATTTTGGTTCACTGTTTTTCATCTGACGGCAAATGAAACATTCTATTGTATGGATAATTACAGTTACTATATCCATGGACTCTTACTAATTATGATAGTTTGTGGACACCTCATTCCATTAATCAAGAGTACCTGTGAAATCAACAAAAATATTCCCCATGGAAATTGATTATTTTACTGTAGTTCACATTAATGTTATGCAAGTTCCAACTGATATATCTATCACTGTGTTGTTGACCTCTCAACTGACCATAGTAAAGAAGCATTGTAAAATTAACATTATTAACCATATACCGAAAAACTATGAGGCTCTAGCTTTTAAGATGTCATATTGTAACACTAAATGCAGAACTATTAAATTTAGCACAGTGGTATACCCAAAATACAACTATTTTATATATTAGCTCGAGAAAAATTTATTTGTTTCTTTTTTTAGTCCATCTTCATTAGATGATGGGCTGTTCAAAATGTCCTACATCTTTTCTTGGTTGAGCCCCTCATCAAGATACAGGTGCCCTGTAGTAATCACCTTTTCCATCAGTCAATCCATCTGTCCATTTTTGCTTTCTGCACAACAACTTGTGTATTTGTCTTTTGATTCTGATTGAATTTGACACATGGCTTAATATTTATCAGACCCTGCATAGGTTCGATAACCAGTGAAGTCTGATAATATTTGCAAGAGTTATGGGACTTTGAATGCTGAAAATTTACCATTTGATTTTTTTTTCTGCATATCAGTTTGCAAATTGGTTGTCAGATGTTCTCTAAAAAGAGGATTCCATTTGATTAAACCTTACATGATTTTGACAACCAATGTCATTGATCAATATTTGCTAGAGTTATGGGACTTTGAATGCTGAAAATATACAGTTTTATTAATTTACACACACTGCATAATTACAGCAGTATTTTCACCAAAATTGGTATGATGGTATAAAACTGGAAACATTGCATGGTATCAATAACCATTGGAATCTGTTCATATCTTCAAGAGTTATGGGACTTTGAAAGCCAGACTTGTAACTGTTTTATTACAGTGTATTTATAGCAAATTTGGTATGTGGGTTTGTACATGAGTCTTCGCATGGATTTCTGTTGAAATATGTTCTTTCCGACTAGAGTTGTGGGACTTTAAACACTGGTGCAAGTGCTGGTGATTTTGGCGTAGATCGAAAAATCTAATATAGCCGCATGTCTACTGATTGAGACATTTTCAGCTTCTTCTCAAAAACAGCTAGTACCATTGATTTCTAACTAGGTGCAAACTATAATCATGAGGTCTCTCACATGTGATATTGCACAGATTTAATGTCCAAAATGGCTGATGTGACTTCATATTGGCAGAGATATATTCGACTTCTTCTCAGGAATGACTGGAGCAAATGACTTCTAACTTGGTATAAATGGTCCTTATAGGGTCCCAAACAAGTATTGTTATTTCCCTTGCAGATCAGAAAGATCAAAATGGCCACTGTGCTGTCTGATTAGCTGAGACATTTTTGAAGTTTACTCAAGGTTGGATGGTGTAATGGATTCTTAATTTGGTACAAAATTACCATTGTTTAATAAGGACCATGCAGTGCTACTATTCATGCTGCACTGGCTCTTGAAACTTTCTGTGTGTTATCTTCTAAAGCAGAGCCATTACTGAACATTGGTCTAGTTATTGCTTTTTCTTGAAAAGTCATGGATGAATCATTCTTAAACTTC